ACTACATTTGTGAAATTTAATGCACTGCACTAAGTTTCACTAGTGCAAATGAGGGATACCTTGCCTCTGGTGGAGATGATGAACAGCTAAGAAGGAATTGCCTAGGACTACTGATTTTTGTCCCCCAGGTTAGCTTGCTACAAAGAAAATACAGAAGACAGTATATGTTGTAAAGGTACCCAAAAGAAAGTTGTAAAGTTGTAAAGGTACCCCAAAGCAATTCCTCATTATTTTACAAACATATTTGAATTTTTCTATGTTAATATCTCTTCTTGGAAATAAATTTCTGCACCACTCAACTGAATAACATAATAAATTGAGAGAGGCAATTTTCCAGAAGGGGTTAGACTATGTGCATCAGTTAGTTGATAGAACACTCCCTAATACTTAAATAGTATTCTGGCCTAAGGGATTGTTACTAAGAACATTTGATTCAAAGTTTCACATAAGAACAAATTCCTATTTTTGGTAGAAAGGAAAAACCAGACAAACTATTTCAGTTTATATATAGATATATTGGTTGTCATTGTGGAAATGACCTTAGAGATAGCCATTAAGCCTCATTGCGTTTCTTAATGTCCCTTTGGTTCTGACATAAATTGAGATCATGACATTATGAGAGTATTTATAGAGTTAATACTTTCCAGCTCTCATCTGGGTCCATCTTTCTTTAGATTTCCTGCCAGTACATAGACGAGGCCCATTTGGAATTTGAGAAAACATCCAGAGACTTCTTCGAAAAGCTATACTCTTCTTAAATTCATGCTTTTTTTATGAACAGATGTAAATTTGAAGGGAAATACCATATACTATAAGCCATTTGGGAATAGTCTGCCTCTTAAGGATGACTTACAATTTTCATTTGAATGGCATAGATGCTGAGAGCTGAAGCTCAAAACTCATCTGTGCTCTAGTTCTGAATTATTCCTTCCGTGAACTCTGTATGCATTTTATGATAAACACACACATGTGTACGAAGTATGTGACCTCATTGACAGTTATCTGCAATGTCAAGTGCTATTGGCAGATACCCAAGAATTGATTGACACATATCTTACAGAACTGGAGTTAATTAATATGTCTACCAACTCCCAAATGTACCACAGGAAACAGAAAATCTGTTTAATACAGCAATCAATGACATACTGCGTGTGGTCAAAAGGCATTCACTATACAAGACAAGATTTTGGAATACACTTTAAGAATGTATGTATTGTTACTAACATGCTACAAATAGTAAAATAGAACTACTTTTACAGCTAGAAGACTAAACTTGGAGGTATTTTGTAATTGTTTATCATTAAAACACAAATGTTAATTTCTCCTATAAGATCCAAAGCTATTAAATGATGCCGGGAATCTTGATTTGTTTCAAAAAGATGTCTTTCCTATGTAGCATTCTGCCATTCAGAATGTTAAGTCTATAGTGTTATTTTCTAACAAAGAGGTTTCAGCTAGCTTGGGAACTCAGTGTAAGACAGTGTTAGAAAAGAAACTGCAAAGAAAACAATTGAATGTTAAAATGTTGATGAAAGTCTTGATAAAATCAAAAACCAAAATGTCTTTTTCTCCTAAAATTGTTTGAATTATATAAAGACTGGACCAAATTTTAAAAAGGAAATCGTATTTCATTATTTCATATGGCATGGGGCAGGTATCAGCAGAGTACCCATTCAGTTTTTAAACTAGAATTTAGAAGACATGTCCTTTTTTTTTTTCTGAAAACTCCCTCTTGTAAATAAGAGTTAGGATATTCAAACTTCATGAGCTTTTACAAACTCTCTTCTAAGAATCTCAGCCTTGCTCCTGTTAGCTATTTTATTTCTTACTTTTGCAAGCTTTCCATTACTGTCATTCTTTTTCTAACAGGGTAATATATATATTGTATCCTTTTCTCAACTTCAAAAACAACATAATTGTTTAAAGTCAAGGGTAGTATTTTAAGTACTTGTGTAGATCAATTTAAAGCAGATTGTCTCATAAGGCAGTTTAAGCATTGAAAATTGAATTTGATGTAGTCTAGACAAGATATCTTGATAATATCTTTTCCAGAATTTCCTAGATTGCCTGTCTAGACTGCTCCAAATTCCCCAGGTAATTGCATAATCATCTTCCTACTGACCTCCTAAGCAGTCTGGAACAGTATTTCCCATTTTATTGTATTCATGCAAATCAGAATCACTGTGCTTCTGAAGGGGGATCTTTCTCAAAGGCTCTGGGTTTTAGAGTTTTGAGAAAATACTTGAACCCCAATCTCCCATCTCAGAGGAGCTCATATATAAGCTTTGTTTACTTATTGTTTTCAAGGGAGGAGATCCCAGGCAAATGGCCTGTACCTCTTCATTCACCCACTGGCCCACACCCATAAGACAGCAATGGGCAGTTGAGGAGTTGAAAAGGAAATAGGCTCTCAATGCCATCAAATTGCAAATTCCGAAAAACAAACATTATGGGAAAAATGATAAAAATGCTGTGACATTTTATTGTAAATTATCATTGAGACTGTGTAAGCCTCAAAATTTAAAAAGGGGGAAATTAAGACAAGTACAGAATCACCCAGCCACAGGGGGAGCATGGTACCATAAATTACAACCTCAGATAAAGTGAGGGATATTTAAGAGGTAAGATGACAATTATTATCAAGAAAAGCAGCAATAGCTTTCAGCCTGAGATGTAAATTTATATTTTCTAATATTCATTGCCCTTTTTCCACAGCCTCTACCTATTGAACAATGTTTAACTTTCACAGCGAGTATGGGGACCATTTTGCATGACAGCTTTCTAGATGAGAAACATAGATGCGATGAAAAGAAACATCTTGCTGCAGATCAAGCAGTTAGTACTGAATTCAGGATGCACAAAAGCCCTGCAGTCTGAGGCCAAAGGACAGGCTTTCAACAATAAGGGGATTAGAGTTTCTGCAGCAGAAAACATCAAGGAGTCACACCCTGCTAGGAGGGTCAGAAGGCAGTTAGAGGCAATAAGCCAATCTCTCATTTAGAAGACATGGATACTAAGGATCCAAAAGGTTTTGTTTAGTTTATTTTGCATATTGTGAGCCAGAGTTTTGCAGAGATTAAATGATTTCTTCAGTGCTCCATAGCTAGTAGCCTGATGTGACACCAGGATCCAAGTCTTTCCCAATAATCTGTACAAGGAGCTTAAGAGTTCCTGATTCCATTGCCAATCAGGTAATCATGTCCTTCACAATTTTTTGACAGGTGTTAAAAATAAATAAATAAAGAAATAAATGGAAGAAAAGAGCAATTTAATGTGAACAGGGTTCTATAGAGCTATCACCACAATACAGAAAAATGGGACAATCACCCTGGGCCCAAGTTTTAGGACACCTGAATGATTATTAGGAAATAGCTTAGAAGGTAGCAAAGAGAGCCTTATTTAATCAGAAGGTATAAAAAAATTAAGTATATAATGTCTCTAGGGCCACATTCCTGAATGCATTGCTAATTTCATCAACATGAAACAAGCAAGTTAAATAGAACTTCCTTTCCTTAAAAATTACTCTTTATTTAAAATTTTTAGCTATGTCAGCAAGGACAATGAAGAAGAAGAGAGGAAGGATGCAGTGGGTGAAGAGGCTGACAGAGGGCCATGGCTTACACTGGTGAGTACTTGTGAAAGTGTCTTATTCTTCCCAGACTCATTGGAAAACATAAATATTCAATTGTGTTAGCCCAGAAAACACAATCTGTAAGGTGCCTTTGTATACAAAGAAAACACAATGCAAACTATCAATTTCTAATTTTTTGAAACTAAAGAGCACCTGAAGATAACTCAAGAAAATTTAGAGAGGAGATCCAGTGTGTAAGTTAAAATGACCTATAAATTAGATCTTAGATTTAGGATTCCAGAAATATTCTGTGAACAAATCCTTTATTGGTTGAGTTTTTCTGAATTCCAATTTGGAAGAAAATTCTGTCAAATACGATTATCTTACCACATGAACACATTTGTTCTTCTTAAGAATTAGTGCCAAAAATTATTAAAAGGTTTATTTTTTTTTATTTTTATTTTTTTTAAAATTCTTTCTTTTTTTTTTCTTGCCTGTGGTGGGGGTGGGGGCGGGGGTGTCACTGGGGATTTAACCCAGGAGTGCTCTACCACTGAGCTACAACTCCAGCCCCTTGTTTTCCCTCTCACATCTTTTATTTTTTATTTATTTATTTTTTTTAATTTTAATATTTATTTTTTAGTTATCGGCGGACACAACATCTTTGTTTGTATGTGGTGCTGAGGATCGAACCCGGGCCGCACGCATGCCAGGCGAGCGCGCTACCGCTTGAGCCACATCCCCAGCCCTAAAAGGTTTATAATTGAAAGCAATGGATAACCTCAATTCACAAACTGCTTTCAACATTTAGCAATGTTTTGTCAATTTTACTTTTTACTTATATTTACCTATGATTTCCTCAATAAATTTTTCCAAACATCTTTTAGAAGCAGTGGACAAAGAAACATTTTTTTTTTCTTTTTCATACCAAAATAATAAAGCAAAATATAAAAATATTTAGTTGAGCAAGAATACCAGTGTGAATAGTTTGGGCCAAACATGAGATCAGATCATTGTGCACATGTAAGGCATCATTTCTCAATCTCTGGACAGAAGAAAACAACTGGGTGGCAGACACTTCTGGCTGAGGATGGAAATGGAAGGGAGAGCTGGCAATATACAAAGGAAGGAGAAAGCAGTACATATTCAGCCTGCTGACATCTGCTGCACATGCAAAATGGATTGGACTCTGTAATCCAGGGTGAAAACAAATGCTTTCTTCCATCCTTCCTCCTTTTCCAGAGTTATTGTTGAGTGATGGTCTTGTTCTTTTTGTATTCACAGATTAAAATTAATAAAAGCCTCTGAATTTGAAGTAGGTACCACTGAATAGTGAACCAGAAGCTAATTAAGCTGAAGAAATGAGTGATGAAGCACTTAAATAGGAAAGGGTCACAGACTAACACCATTTTGTAAAAGCCAGTTTTACCTCAGGATGATGTCCAATTTCAATATAGGTGCAAATTGGATGAAAAGCCCCCGTTCCACAGGCATATAAGTGAGTCTGATTATAAGCCTTAAGGACCTTGATGAAATTAGCACATTCTTTCTGTAAGACAAAAGGAAAACCAGTGAGTTCTAGCAGTCAGCATGCCTGAGGTATCCTCCTGAGTGCTAGGCATGCTAGAACAGATTTTTTTTCTGCAGCCATTTTACAAACCCTTTTAGGGATTATTTATTATTCAGTTGTTTTGCTCATATTATTACATGCATTGAAATTATAGAATTTCTTTCTTTTTATGGGGACAAATATGACCTTCTATAAATATTTCATTAAAACTATTTATAATTTATTTATATTATAGTGGAATAGAAGTTTTAGATAACCAATAATCACGGGTGACTTTTCCAGAAGCAAGAACAGCAAATTATTTAAACAATCGATTACATAAATACAATGATGGTTAAAATTTCCTTGCAAAAAAAAATTAACTTTGAGTTTAATTTTAGAAAAAGAAAAAAAAAACAGATAAAATGGCCTATTAAATATGAAGTATATACACCATTAGTAATACATTTTAAAAGTTTTCAAATGAGTACTCATATGTTAAATAATTTAAAAAACTACATTGAAAAAAATCCTTTTTATTGATTATTGCTATACTTTGGATATGAGGTATACCCCCAAAGCCCCTATATGAATGAAGGAATATTCAGGGATGATTGATTAGAATATGAGTGCTGTAACCTGATCAGTCCATCCTAGTTTGAACTGGGTGGTAACTGGAGCAGATGAAGTGTGATTGGAGGAGGTGGGTCACTGAAGCATGCTCTGAAGGGTACATCTTGGACAGACCCCACCCCACTTCCTGGCCAGGTAAACTGAGCAGCTTCCCTTGGCTGCACCCTTCAGTCATTATGCTCCACCTCACCTCAGGTCCTGAGCAGTGGAACCAGCAGAGCATAGACTGAACCTTTGGAATTGTGAGCCAAAATAAATATTTCCTGTTCTAAGTTGTTCTTGTCAGATATTTTTGTCACAGTGATGAAATGCTGACTAATGCAATCACAAACTTTCTTAGTTTTGTCTATAAACATTTGAAATTAAGAAGGAAATATGTACTATAAAAGCAGATAAAATTCCAACAGACATAGCATTAACAAGGCTGGTGAGCATAATAAAACACTGGATCTGCCCTTGCGTTTCTAAGTGTGCCTCACCTCCAAAGTCATTCTGTATGACCTGTGACTATTCAAGTGCAAGCTCATAGGGCATTTGAACTTAGTTGGAGTTTATAAGAGAGGTGTTTAATAGTGTGAGTACATTTCCATGTGCCATCTGTATTCTGTATTTGAAGGTTATGATTTTGGTTTTACTTATTTTGGTCTCACAAAAGAAGGAGCAGACAGTGAAATTTGAACACAATGATGGACATTTAAATTCAAGGAATTGTGGTCTATTGCTGACTTTTCTATTAAGATATGATGCCCTTTGAATATATTCCTAGAGATGAATTAGGTTGACTCAAAGTAAAATATCAGAATTCCAAGTTATGACTCTTTGTATTTTCTTAATATGTGATGAGAAGGTTGGAGTTAACTAGAATAAATATATAACTTCTTCCACTGTTTGATAAATAAATTGATGAACCTTCCTTTTTTTTATGGTAAGGCATTACAACATACAACATTGTGCTCTGAAATCAGCTGATTTTGCAAGTTGTTCTGTAATAGGAAAAATTACCTCTCTTAAAGGGTTTCAGCATCTCCTTTATTCACTTTGAACAGGGTACTTCCTAGGTAAAACTGTGAAACAAATAAAACCTAACTTCTGCTACTCTTGGCAACAAACTCTTCATTCTATAACAGTTTTCCTCCTTCCCCCAAAAGGACAGGGCATGAATGCTTAGACAGAGGAAACAGCTTTTGGAAGGGAAAGATCTGATAAACTCATTTACAAATGAGGCATTCATGAGTCTTAACCAAAAGATGTATTTGTACTCTAAAATATTCAGTCATTTGCAAAGAAGCCATTTTCAGGCAGATTTTAATTTGAAAATGTGTAGGTGGCCACACATTCTGCTGTTACATATAGACAACCATTTCTTACTGTGGGCTCAATATTATAGTATTTAAGATGATAAATAATGAATTCCAGCACCATATGTTGAAACCAAGATATTGGCTATGTAGATGTTGGTAAGCAAATGCATCTTCTAATAAATAATAGTGGCAAACCCAGATGGATGTCTTGTTCATTTTAGAAAAAAAGAACAAAAAACAGGATTTCACTTCTATCATACCTGTAAACACATGTATGCAATTTTATTCACAAACCCAAATAATCAATGTCCATCAACAACCCCTAAGTGCCTCCTACAATTTTAAGAATAGATCTAAGTACTCTATAACAAAAAAGGGGAAATGTTCTTTGTGCAAATACTGGCCAACACAAAGGAAGGCTTATGCCACCTCTGCAACTGTTACAAATGATAATATCATAGATTTTATGGGCTTTCTATTTCTTATAGATGATATAGCTAATTAGCAAAAGATTATCTTTTCAAGGAAACTAGCAGATTATAATTAATATAACAAAAAATTCTCCCAGTTCTTGAGAGCCACAGAATTGGACCACACTGAATATCTGTTAAAAAAGAACCTCTACACTACGACAACTATTCTTCTGCAGAGCTGCTGGAATGAAATCAATCACGGGACTATAGCTGTGAAACCTGGCAAAGAGTTCTACAGAGAATGCTGATAACCACAGTCTATCTGTGTTACAAAGCAACTAGACCCACCCTGTTGGCCTAAGGCCTGGAGCAGTTTCCTGCATTTCCCAACAGACCTCTCCCATTAGCAGCAAGTTGTAAGGTTGCCATGCCTGGGGGCAACCTCAATAGTCATTTGAAAGTGAAGGTTGATGTGGCTAGAATGGGGAGAATTTTTGAGGGGGAGTTTGAGGGGAAAAGATGATTGAAAGGAAAAAAAGAAATGGAAGGAAATACTTTCAAAACTGGTTAAATATAGCCAAGAAAAGAATCATCAGCAACAGTGGAGGAGAAAAGTGAATTAAAAGAACTGGACAGAGAAGAACGGAAAAACTTGAAAGAGACATGTTAGTAAGGATTTGTTCTTAACAGAAAGTCTATATAAAAGAGTATCAATTCTGTCATTCATTTGCCTTCGCTCTTTGGTTTGTTGCTGCCAAGGTTTTTGAGTGTTCCAAAACAGGATATTCATTTTATTTGGAAGTGGCTTGGACATTCCTCTAAAAAAGAAGGAAGCGTGGCAGAAAAAGGAAACACACTTCACACATTTCTGCTCTGAGGAGACAGAAGAAGAGTGTTTTTGACCTTTTCTTGAACCATGACGTTTCTTAAAACGCAGAATGTAATGTACTTTTTGGCATTAAACTACTCCACTGCTTTGCTCAGCACCGGCGGATTTACAGCGTAATAAAGACAGTGTAATCAGTTCAAAATGAATCAATTTTTCAAGCCTTGATCCTTTTTGGAATTTAAGTTGATATACGCAGACAAGTTTAGCAACAAGTTGGCTTCCCGAGAGTCAGGCAACCAGATTGACCCCTTATTTTACTGAAATTTACTCCAGATCAACAGTATTAAAAGTATTAGGTTAGAAATAAAAGCAAAAGTGTTAAAACCAGTAAAATCCAAAGCCACACCTGAGGAGCAATGATTTATCATCTTCAGTGACAAGCCATTTACACTTATATTTAAAGGATTTCTAGTCTTTTCAGATCAAATGTATACAGGAATTATGCATGTAAATATTAGCTTGAAAAAAATAAATTTAAAGAAAATATCTATTCCCAGAAAAAGATATAAGAGCCAAATGCACAGTGATTCAAAAACAAACATTGTAGATATGTAGCACTGATTAGACTGTGTTACACAGACTTTTCCTGGACGGTTACAAAAATAAAGTCCATCCATCTGTCAAAACAACTGCTCCATGCATGAAAATTAAAACAGAACTGAGGTGTTTTTAACTAACTTCCGATAATTATGCTTTCTACAAAAGAATATAATTTACCTCCAATTCCAATTACCTCCTTGCATTCTCTTAAATTATGGATAGAACCGTGAAATTTTATTCTAAATAAGGAAGGGGGGGAAAAAGGGAAAGAATACTGTGAACATGAGCAATCTCTATTCAAATATATTCAGTTCATAATTAAATCAAACAACTTGCTCTGGTTCAAATATAAATCAGCCCCAAATGAATGGGTATAGAACTGTATTGCCTCGGGTCAGTGTGAATTCATCTAGAAAAAAAAAACAAAAAAACAAAGTTTCTATCCTACCAGTATTTTATGTAGAAATATTTTAATGTTAAATCTAGCAGCTGGGAAAGCAAAGGAAACCCTTTCTATCATGATGGGTGGAGACATTTCTGCATGAAAATCCATTAATAAGCTTAATTCCTGAAGTTAATCTGTTGACTCTCTTTTTCTCTGGTCAATTTATTTGGCAAGCTAGATGAATACTCTAGTCTTCCTGCCAAAGCAGTAATCCATGAGATTGTTCCTGTCACTCACTTTATCCATCCCTCTATTTAAGTCATTCCATCCTTATCTGACAATAATGTTTTGTCCTTTTTTCTCTTTACATTGTGCTGTTACAGCTGTGATCCGATTATCCATAATCTTGTCTTCTTAATACTTTAGCATTTACTAAAAATATTAGAGCTCTCTACTTCAAAGAGGGAGATCCAATAAAACCAACATAAAAACATGTTCTAATTATCATATTACCCATCATATTTTAAATCTATGACCTGGAATTTTTTAATATCCAGATTTTTTAAAACAGTGAATAGTTTGTTCTGTCCATTTTGGAGACATTTTTGCCTTTGCTATTTAAAAGGATGACTGCATAATCAAACCAATTGACCTTTTTATCTTAATGCTCTTTTTATTAACTTCAGAAATTAAAAAAAAATGCTCATTCAACTAAGACAACCAAGTTAGTGTTATATCATAGCTAATTATTGAAGTATGTAAGCATATTCGTATTGATTTAACTAAATCAATATTAAATCTATGGCAATTAAAAAATAAATTTGAAAGTGGCTTAAATG